CTAATTGAGCCGACCAATTTAAAGAACGATGTTATTACTCTTTAATCAAGATTTTATTTGTAAATGTGAGATAGTTTGCTTGGAAGATAACTTTTTTTTACAAGATATAACTGACACTTTCATGCTTTTTTGGTAAATCGTTATTAAAAGTTCATTTAGGAGTGGGGGTTTATAACCCTTTTCACTCACATGCGCCATGAATTAAGAGTAAGGAACATTACCTTCCATTAAAGTCGTTTATAGTGATAATGTTCAATACGATTCAGTCTTATGGGTGCCCATCTGACTTACTGACAACGTTATCCCAGAAACACCCACCAATTACTCTTTCTTTATAAACATACCCCCAACACACAGAATCTGCAGTTAGCGTGTCTTTATAGTTGTTTAAACTTAGGCATCGTCAAGCTGCTGTTTCTCTTCCTGGTGGTCGCGCGTTCATCTTCGAAACACGAACCTGAGTCTCGCATATTCCCGTCTATTTAAGTTAAGGTCATTTATCATCAAGTTAAATGCCCGTCTTTATCCGACCTTTGTATTTGCAGTCAAATGACGGAAACTCAACCAAAAGAAGAAACGCTTAGTGATCTTGAGAAGGTAAGGTAAACTAGCCGGTGGTGATGTTCACTTACTCCGCCAGGAGTTGCGAAGTCATCCGGCTTTCGCAAAAACCCTAGAGGACATGAAAGACTCGCCCGCCCTTCAGGCGTTACAGGCACTAAAGTACGAGTCCGAGAATCCCAACGGTAAATGTCCACCAGCGCCGTGACCGTCTCTAGAAAATGCAAAGAGCTACAAGGAGGAGGGTAACTACCACGTGGAACGAGGCGAATTCGACAAAGCAGTCACTGCCTACGGTGCCGGGATAGCCGCAAAACCCACCGATAAGAAGCTGCTTGCTGTACTCTACACAAACCGCGGCATTGCACAGGCACGAATGAGTTGGTCCTTACTCCTTCCTAGCCTTATCGCTTACTCTTAGAAAACTACGGTTCCTGTGTGCAGGACTGTAAGTCTGCTATCAAGTTGGACGCTAGCCACACTAAGGCATATGTCCAGGCCGTGAAGACGCTTCTCCTCCTCTCGAAGTATAAGGAGGCCGTGGAGATGTGCAAAGCTGGTTTGGAGGTATGCAATCGTACGTTTGCTCAACCCTGCTCCTCCTTCGCAGGTGTCACCTTCAAACGAAGCCTTAGCAGATTTGAAGCGCAAAAGCGAAGAGCTGGAGGTGAGCCTAACGCTTATACTATATACTCTATAAACAGGCAAAGAGGGCCGCCGAGCAGGCCGAA